TTAAGTCCAGGAATGCCTGGAAAACCTGGTGAGCCAAGTTTACCCGCAGCACCCTATATACAAACGATATTAATGTTGTATTTTAGGCAGTAAATTGTGTAAATTGTATACTTTATTTATAATAACAACGTAAACCAAAAAGTATTATAATTTTGCTTTAAATAGATGTTATAATAAGTCTCTTCAAGATATAGATTATGAATTCGTGTGTAAATTGAATAATCAACTTACGGGTGGCCCGGGCGGTCCCACAACTCCATCAAGGCCTCTCAATCCAGGAGAGCCAGATGAACCCTCTCTGCCTCTCTCACCACGCGGCCCCGCTGGCCCCTGCGTTAACAATAACATTTGTGCAAAACAATATATTCCCTTCTTTTTCTCCTCTCTCCTCCTCTTTTTCTCTTCAACATTAAATATATATTAAGTACATATATGTATTAAATATGTACTAAACATGAAAATTTATTTCATGACTATAAAAAATATTTTTCTGTTTTAAATCTCTTCGCTCTCTTGTACATTCCGAGAATATTATTTATTACATACCATTGGACCTATCGGCCCCATTGGTCCTGGTGTGCCTATAGATCCTTTTTCACCAGAAATTCCTTGCTCACCTTTTGCTCCGTCTAGACCCGGAAAACCACGATGGCCTTTTATTCCTGGAAGTCCAGGCATACCTGAAAGACCACGTGGCCCTACGGTACCAGGTGATCCTGGCGGACCGGTTTCACCATCTTCTCCACTAGTACCCTGTCGTTAAATATTTTACAGTATTTTTTGTATTTTTCGAATATAAAGAATTTTTATTATAATCCCTTACGTCTTTTCCAGGTAATCCTGGTAAACCTCGAGGACCTGGCGTACCAGGAGAACCTGGAGATCCTGGTTCACCAGCTTCACCGCGTGTACCTTGGAAACCTTGAGGACCTGGAGCACCGGTTGGACCTACAAATATATAAATATATAGAGAAAATGTAATTTTTATATAAATAAGATTTTAAATAAAAACATATTTTTAGATAAGACAGAATCATTAAAACAAGCATTGTTTATATAAGATCAACAATCATTTATTAAACAATATTCAGGTAAAACAATTGAAATAATTTCAGCTTACCTGGAGGACCTCGCGGACCTATAGGGCCTACTTGCGCTTGAATATAAGGATATGCTTCTGGTCCATACAATGATGCAGCTACACCTGTTGGGCCTTTATCTTGATTCGCTTGAGACAAAGCCAATTGTTGATAATATAGAGATACCTGTTATATAATCGATATTTTATATTAATAAATTATTATATATTATAATATACGTAAAAGAGACATATAAATTATAGAATACATCGAATAATTAATTAATCATCGCTAATCACGCTAATTCATCTCTTGTTACATAAAAGAAAAGATATAAAAATGGTTTTAAATTAAAAAAGAAACATTTCTTACGTCAGGTACAGCTCCTGGAAGACCAGGTGGTCCTGGAATCCCGGGATTTCCGGGTTGTCCAGGATATCCTGCATCACCCGGACGACCAACATCTCCAGGTCGACCAGGTTCACCCTTATTTTTTTGTAAACGTTTTCTTTTTGTTAATCTTTGTGAATATTTTCCGAAGAATCGTTTATTAACTAATTTTACGAACAATATCACTTACTCGTAGGCCAGGTATAGCCACAGAACTGTACACGTTACTTTCACCCGGTAAAATTTCCGTGGACGGAACCTACACACAAGAACAGAAACTATTTCTCACAAATTCCAATATAATTTTTTAATTATTAATTATTTTGTACTTACTGAATGATCCTTTTCAGGTGTAACATTAGTCTGCTCTAACTCTAAAATGTAAACGATCAATCAGATTTCAAAAAACATGCGATTAAAATATTTCATTTTAATTATCTATTTACTTTTTTTCTGTTTTTATTCCGAGCGTTATTTTTTAATTAACGCTCTATTTGCGCGAAGGAAAGCGTAAAGCAACTAATCCTAGAGATATAATTTTATAATATACGAAAATATACAAATATATGAAAATAATATTGTAATATATATGACCAAAAAAAAAATAGATTTATTTAATACAAATTTTCATTCTTTAATATCAAGAATGATTACTTTTAACATTAATTATTTATCAGTCACATTACATATGTATTTCTCTGTTTCTCTAAACACACAATGATAATAAAAGATACTTATTTTGTCACTTACCACGATTATAAAATAAAGTTGTCGTTGGAGCTGGCAAATCTGTAGGTTTTTCTGGTCTATACGAAGACACTGTACTTTCTATCGACGATGTGGACAATCCTACATTCAATAATTACACATGTCATCGATTTCTTTAATTTTCATAATAATTCTTCCCGAATTAAAATAATATAGTATGAATTGCATGCTCACCCGAAACTTGTATGCTTGATGATGGTATCACAGGAGGTGACAATGTTGTGGTCTCTGACCAATTAAATAATATTGGTATTATTATTATTATTATTCAATTGGAAAAAAATATAAAATTATTAATATTAATTGTCGATTTATTATTGCAACAATAATTGTGCGTATATCATTTGCAAATACGGAATATGTTTTAGCGGCTTTATTATCCACAAGGAAGCTAAACCAGATACTTAACCGTAAGTTAAATTGAAATGAATGATATTAATTGAATTGCTCTGATTAAAACACGAGCCATTAATTGTTTTATACGTTTTAATGAGATTGATCTTTGGCACAAGACTTCCGGCATTTCGAAACAACTGTCCTGTTTTCCATTTACAATACATGCTATAAAAATTCTTTCTTTATAATTTATGAAATAAAATTTTATATTTAATTTATTATTATATAGAATTTATAGATAAAATTATATTGCTATTATGTAATAAATAAGTAAAATAATGATTTTACATATTTATCATATTGCATAACGAGAAAGTTTAAAAAGTGTACATTTGGTCTTGTAATTTACAGAGAATAGATTTCGTAGCTTTTCATGATATCTCTTAATAAGAGGCTCTACGACATAGAAAATACTGAGAAATCAACAAATAATCGTCAGAAAATTATTTTACTACGTCTATCATCGTTTTTATCTTATAATATAACGTGAGTCAATTGCATCGTACATTAATGTTACACGTTGATTGATAAATTAATATTATTCAAGTAATCTAATCTATCTTATCTGAAATTATCTGAAAAAAACTTCTCTAATTTTCCTGATTAATATATTTTAATAAATCTTTTTATAATATTTCTCTCGTTTTTTTGCTTCTAATTTCAATCATAAAACAAATTAAAATATTCCTCGGACATCATGCATTATTATGCAATTTTCTCGTTATACTGTCAATCATTATATTCTTTATAGTGTAATAATAATGATGATCATAAAAAAAAAACGTCAGCATGTATTATCAAACCATATGTACTCGTATGTATGCAATAAATGTACAGGAATTATTTTTAAAAAATGCGATGAAAAATTTCAACTCTTTCTTTCTTTTAATTGTCGCGTCTAATTTTTCACTCACCGTTCTTTTCTTCGTAGTCGTCATAATTCTCATAGTAATCGTAATTATAATCGGTAACAGGTTGCTGCGACTGCGGTTGCTCTGACCTGGACCGTTGTTTCCTGGGCCGATTTCTCACAGCGTTTACTTGATCTGATAGCAGCAGCAGCTGGACCACGAGGAGCCCCGTGACCAGCTCTAGAGTCTGCGGCCTCATCGAGGAGCGTCTCTCTATCCGCAGGGGTGGAATATAGACTCTACTGGAGAACGAAGAAAATGCAGATCTCCCGATTCGTCTCTATCGAGAGGCTGAGGGCAACTAGACTCGTGGTAACCGACGTATCATCTATTTAGCAGATGCTCTGCATGATGTAGGGGAGGTCATCATCCTCTGTTCTACTAGGCGCCGTCGCTTTATTCCGCAACTACCCCCTCGTTCCCTTTTCCTGAGTCCACATACTTATTCGTTTCCTTCCTTTGCTCACGCTAATGAATGATATTTCTTATTTTATATATATAGAGAAGGGAAGAAAAACAAGAGGAAAATTTAGTCGTCAGAAAATATGATAAAGGTAGGATTTTAAGAAATAAAATATGAAGAAGTATATATATTTTTATCTTAATTATATTGTTAAGTGATCCAATAATCATTTCAAAGCAATCCTTCCCCTTAAAAAATATTTAATTTTACAGAAATAAATTTTATTTTGTTTAAATTTATTTATCTTTTATTAATCTTATTAAATCTATAATTTCGAGAACTCGGCAGAAAAATTTATTGAGAGATACGAATCAATATTTATGATAACTTTAAGCATTTTTCAGATGTTATTAATACAGAGAGAATATATTAGTAATTAATAAACTATTAATTGAAACTCAAGGTTAATTTGAAATGATTATTATTACTCTAAGATTAAAATGTTTCTTGACACTTATATATCTTTAAAATTATCGCTAAATAGTGTCACAGCGAGCAATTCATGGAAATCTATGAAAAATCGTGTATCAGTATTGTCAGCATAGAATTACTATTCCGCGTATTCGTTAGAAGCAACGCGTCGCAATGAAGGTCATCACCTTAAAGGGTTGCATGCGACATGCATCACGATGTCGTCACCTTTATATACTCACTTTTTTTTAAAAACATAAATTTTCTGCCTAATGTTGGATCGAAGCATCTTGATACTTAATTATACAACATAATTTGTATCCATTCTAATGCAGAAAATGATACAAACAAAATTTATTTGCTATTTATATTTTTGTAAGTAATAACAATAAATTTGACTCTTATGAGAGTTAATTTTTAATTGTGCGATTTATCTTGATTTGCTTCTAATAAATAATTAGTTATTCTGGATGGATCACTGATTACTGCAATATCTAGCAATATAAGCGAATTGCTAAATGTTACAGAAGCAAAAATGTATAAAACAAATTTCTAAAAATTTACAAAAAAAAAAAAAATTATATCTTGTTCTGAAATAAAAGGTTTTTCATCTATAAGAATTAAAATATATCTAATTTCTTATTAAGATATTCTTCTTTAATTTGATTAAATCAGAGAAACAAAAAATAAATTTTAGAACACTTACAGTCTTGTGGAACTTTTGACAAAAAATGATTTTTAGCTATATTTTGCTTCGATCGTCTCATACGCATCCTTGTGTCAAATATGCATTCGATCTATCAACGAGTTGTAACGACCTACTTTGCGATAAGCGTTCCGTATAGTTTTTATCAGTCAGCGTCAGAAGTACTCGATACGCTGCCGTTTCCTTAATAAGTTTATTAGACAAACATCATTTTGGCCGCATTCTCCGTGCGTGTCTTACTTTACAAGGCGTTAGCCGTAATAGACTGCATTGACCCACGCCGCCTTCGTTCGTTACTAGCAGTTATAAATCAGAATTGCTACTATGTTTAATGTAAGCAACCAGGACAATGCAATCAGCACAATTTCGATGTAGAATTCGCATTGACATCCAATTAAAAAAAAAAAAAAAATATATATATATATCTTAAACTGATTTTTATATGTTTTGAGAGAGTATACACATGAATCTCTTTGACTTAACTCAATTTCATTATACTTTCTTCAACAATGAAAAATCTGAATTTTTCTTTTCTTTTATCAAACAATTTGATCCAGAAAGACGATTAAAGTAATTATAGTACATTTATGCGTGTGTATTCATTTTTCGGCTTTTTTTTTAATTTACAAAATTTTGGCACCTATACGTTAAATCCTTTAAGTGGAAATCTGAACAACTATATATAAGTGATTATATGTTCTATAATGTGTATATGCCGATGATATCAAGTATAATAATTATATAAAACGGTTTGCCGCACGAAGAAATGTTTTGTCATTGTATTGCTAGAAATCGTTTTATATCTTTTGGTAAGCAAAACTTTTCTTTCTCAGTCTTGGAAATATACTGAATGCTTTATATCGCTCAAAATATGTAAATGTACATACACTTCAATTAATCATTATTAATTATATTGATTAATATAATGATTAAAAGAATAATTAGTACGATTAGTATATATTTTTTATTTCACTGAATAAGTGCATCAGCGTTTCAGTCAATGTAATACTTTAATTAGTGCATCTACATTATCATTTTCGTCTTTGATCGTTATAATTAAAATGAATGCGTCATACGCGTACTGATGGGTATTACAGATCCAAGTACGTTTGTATTATACTAATGCAAGCATAGCACTATAGCAAGAATTACTCTAAATATTGTAATAATCCTTCATACGCGCGCGCGTGCATACGTTGTCATAAAAAGTATTTTAGAAAGAGATATATGCAAATAATATATTATATTATATTTATCTACAGTATAGAATAAACAAAAGTGTCTTTTACACAACACTTTAAACGATACTTTATATTTTATTACAATATAACAAATGTGTTATGCTTATTACATATATTATTTAATTTTCATGAAATACAAATTAAATTTAATAAAATTATTTAAAAAACTGCGCTTAACAAATTAATATTGTACACAGATTCCATAGAGATCAAAGATAGATAACACATAAATTAAACCTAACTTGTTTAAACGATTCATGATTCTTGTACATTATATTGTACCTTTTAAATACAGAGATTTGTTTAAAACAGAACGGCGTTGTTTTATTCATAAAATCTCTATATGTAATAAAATTGTTGAGAGACTGAGACTTTTATTAATTAAGAAAATGCTTCTCTCTCTTTAATATCTAATTAATAATTATTAGAGTCAGATTAAAATATATATAATTATAAAATAAATAATATATAATAAAAAAAATATTACAATGATTTGTGACATCAAATATGTGCAATAGCGTTTCAAAGAATAGCAAAAAATAATAAGTGAAATAATTATGTGTGTGCAAACATGTTTACAAAGATACATATAATAATTTAAAAGAAAATGTTATCTGCAATAATTATATGTACCAAAAGGATCCTCTTTAAATTATTTTATCGCAGATAGCAAAACTATCTAACTTCTTGTATTTTTAATGTTTTTTCAATAGTGGCATGGCGAATACCATGCTCTCAGTGCACTCTGTCTGAGGCTAAAATTAACAATAAAATAGACAATCGTAGAAAGTTAAAATAACACATAGATTATCAACTTACTTGAGTGGTAACTCCTATAAGTATGTCGGCATGAGAAGCCAGACGTTTGTTTAAAGTTATCACGATAATTTGCATATTATTCGTTTCGGATCGAATGAAGCGAATAAGCTTGTTAATATTTACATTATCTAATGCCGCATCACCTTCATCCATAATAAAAAATGGTATTGGTTTATAACTGTAAATGAAAAAGCATTTGCGATTACTTTCTTCGAAATAGCTCTAGAGTTTCGGATGTTATCCGTATCATTGAAAGCATGTACATAAAACATTTCGTTAATATAATATAAAATTAAGATATACCGCAAAATTGCAAATAGAAGCGCCAAGTTAGCAATTGATTTTTCCCCATCAGATAGATATTGTAATGGCTGAATGCGTTTAGACGATGGTATGCAGCTGTAATTTATACCGCTTGTGTACGGCTCCTCGGGATTTTCTGGTATAATGAATGCTTGAACCGACACGTCATTAGCCAAGTTCTGCATAGAAAATAAATAATATATTTGTGATGTGTATATAAAAACACACTTTATTTAATAAATGGAATCGTAAGAAGCGTAATTATAAATACTGACTTTGTATATAGAATCTATTTCTGCAGTAATGCATTCCAGACAATCCGAAAACAGTTTGTGTCTTTTTGTTTTAACCTTCTCGAATTGTTTGCCTATATTATTAGATCTTATGCGTAATTCTTCATGTTTCTTATTTATATCTTTTATCTGCTGTATTATCAAATCGACTTTTTTATGAGCCTAAACATTGTCAAATTCATATATGAGATTGATTCATAAAATCATATCAAATACAAATATATATTGTACAAAGCTTTTATACCTTAAGATTAGGTTTTTGTAAGGTTTGAAGTTCATTCTGAATCTCTATAAGTTTTATTTTAGATTGGTCAATAATATTTTGCAAATCTGTTGTACTATTACGGATATGTTCGGAAATTTGTGAGAAATCAATATTCATTATTACGTCCCAAACATTCAATGATTCTGGGCTTAAATTTGAGTTTGAACTGTTTTCATGTATTGTCTCTGATAATATTGGAATAGTAATGTCTTCTAGCTGTGAAAACAATTGTATAAAGCAAAACAATTGTTAAAAGCATTGACCAAAAGTCAATGTTCGATATTTAATATTTACAGATCTTTTAAAGTAAATATCTCTTTTAGAAATTCGCTAACCTTGCATTCTTTAAGTATAGTTTCACATTTTGCTTTTTTCTGTTCTATTTTACTCTGTATAGCCATGTATGCCTTTTGATTCTCTAAATATAATTTTGAGATAACGCCAATTCGTGATCTGCATTGATCCAATTTTTCTTTTACATCCTCTAAATAATTTTTTTTTGTTTTATAATCGTTTTGTAACTCTAACATTTTCGTTTCTTCCTGTTCAATAGCAGTTTTTATATTTTTTTCTTGCTTGTATGCTTTTTCATATTCTTCATTAGCTTGCTTTAATTTGTCCTTCCACCTCGAAATTTTTTCTATTCACGTAAAATTTACATATACATATATAAAAATATGATTAAAAATGATACATTAATAAATACGATTTGCAAATTTACCTTTAAATTCAGCTCTTTTATCATTCTCCTTTTCAAACTTCAATTGATTGTCAATATAATTTTTTCGGTTTATATTTTCCATTTGCTTGTTTAACTGCTCTTTATATATGCTAAAAAAATAATATAAATTTTTGTATACAATATATATACACACATATAAAGTTTAAAGATTAAACATACCATAAATTCTGCTCATAATAGGTAATATTTGGCACATTAACTTCTTTACAAAAATCAACGAAAATTCTGTTTTTAATTTCATTAATATTTTCCTCTATGGTTTTAATCTTTTCATGCTTTTTCTGCATATCGTGTTGAATTTTCGATATTGCCTTCTAGAAATTGTATGTAAATAATAAAAATATCTTTTTCTATTATATAGCTTATAACAAAAAATTTCAAAAAATAAATATATGTAAAATACATACATCTTGTAAACTTAGTTCTTTATGGAGATCGTTTAATTTTATATCATGTATTTTAATTTCTTCTGTCTATAAAAATACAAACTAGCTTTGTATATTATTTGAATAAAATGTCTATTAAAAACTATATAATATAAAATATTTTTCTACATCTTATACACACATGCATGTATGCACACAAAATTACTTACAATGTCTTTTATATCCTTCTCAATAACTTCCATTTCAACAGTAAGTTGATTTTTATTAATTATATCAAAATCAGATTGCATACGAGAAATGTTAGGCAGATTTATTAATTCTTGCTTGAATTGTATCTAAAATCATACATATATAATATACATAACTATTTTTTTATACAAATTTTATAAAAAATCTGCAACCTTCTGTTCTTTCAGTACAGATAAAGATTGTATATTTTCCCATTGGTTTGCTCTTGTAATAAGAGCTGTCAATCCTCCAGATATAATACCACTTGTATGAAAAGAACATCCATCTAATGAAACACACTAAAACATAATATTGTATAGATATATAGATGTAATAATATAATAAATACAGACTATTTTAAGCATGATTATTATTACATTATAATGGCGATCACTTTCAAATGCCATTTTTCTTGCATCTTCAGCAGTCTCGCAAACTAAAGTGTTTTTAGTGACATATAAAACTGCCTTGTCTATTTCCATAAATGATAACTTCAGTACATCATATAACAATTTACTATTTGTCTGTTCTAGTGCACTACTATAAAAGAATATTACATTATATTATCATTACATATATACTAATAAAATGTATTTTTTATCTCTTATTAATTTACCGTAATCTATCATTTATAGGTTTCACTTTTATTGAATCAAGCGGTAAGAATCTTTCAACGCCTATTTTGTGCTGCTTTAAAAAACCAATGCATTGCCTTGCTGTATGTCCAGTATCAACGACAATGGCATCCATATTTCCACCAAAAATTTTAGTTACCGCAACATTATAACGAGAATGAATAGGCTTGCAAAGATTAACTAAGCGATCGTACTATAAAGTAAAATACATATATTGCCTGATTTCTTTAAAAAAATAATTATTATCGTAATAATACTATCGAAATTCTGATTGATAAAAATGATACCACGCCAGGAAAAGATTCTTTTAAATTTTTTATTATTTCAGCTTTCTTGTTCTGCTGTGAAATAATGTCATTATTTATATCAGCTTCGGCAAGTTTCTCTGAAATCTTTGCAATATCGTTTTTTAATTTTAAAGATTTCTCCTGTGTTTCCCTAATTTCCTTTTCTAATCTTTGCCTTTCCTCATTTTTTCCCATTAAATTTGATTTATCTTTTTGTAAATCTTCAACTTGCTTTTTGAAGTGTTCTTTTCTTATTGTTTCAATTTTTACTTTATTTTCCAATTCCTCTTTAATTCTATTTTCATTATCAAGTTTATATTGATCAGTTTGTCGATCATGCATCAAATCATTTATACGATTTATAAAATCTTTTGCTTGATTCTCAACTTCAGTTTTTAAAATCATATAACGTTTAACCTTAAATAGATTGTTTTTATATCAGTTAGAAGTTTATGTAGCAGTATAAAAAAAAATATAAAAAATTCAAAATTTTATGTGTACTTCTAAAATATTTTATATATTGTAATAATATAACACCTGAAAATCTTGGAGCTCTACAATATCATTCTTTGATGATGCTGTTCTTTTTAATAATTCTTTTAATATATCAAATTCATTTTTTAATGCTTGGATAGCTTCGTCATAATTATTAAGCGCTTTTATCGCACTATCCAGAGACGTGCGAGCGTCGTTACGTTTTTTTTGCCAATATTCAATATGATTCTTAACATTAGTATATTCTCCCTTCTTTTTTCGAATATTATCTTTAAGTTCTATGATGTTCTCTTCAGTTTCATTCAATAAATCAGATAATGGTTTAACTTTTAATTTAGTATGTTTTAATAAAGTCATTTCAGTTTCCTTGTACTGCAAATGCTCATCTACATTTAATTTGATTTCTTTTTGCTCATTTTGTAAAGATTCAATTACTTTTTTCATGAAAATCAACTGTATTAATTGAAATTTTAATTTTTCTTCCATCTATAACGTTTAAAAATTATTTTATAACCAAATGAGAAAAGATACAAACAATAACTTCTAAAAAGATCATTATATAGATTAGAAATAGATGTGAGATATACATATTGTTTTTGGAACTGTAAATATTTTTCTGCTTCTGTCTTTTCTATTATAGCAGATTTCTTTCTTCTTAATTGCTGTTTTTTTGTTTGATACGCAAAATGTATCTCCTGATTTACTTCCAAGAGTTCTAATTGTAATCTGTAATAACATTAAAGTCTAGTAAATTTGTCAAACTTGTAAATAAATTTGTATAATTTATTAAAATAAAAGTGTATACCTTTCATATTCTGCTTTGTATACATTGGAACCACTAATTTCTTCAAACATGATAGTCAATTCTTTTGACATGTTTATTGTTGCAAAATATTGTATATAGCCCTGAGGTACCAGAAGGTTCCCTGCTTTTATGTCCAAACCAAATTCTTTCAATTCAGTCATATAAAAGTCTCTGGTAACAATCTACGTAATAAGATTGATCATAAATTAATTAGTATATTAAGATAAGAATAATTTTAAAAAAATTGTGCAAAAACAGAATTTTACCTTATTATCTATTTTGTACTGACTGCCTTTCTCTTGTATTGATCTTGTATAACTTTTTTCTTGGTTTTGGTCTCCCGTTAAAAATATTATTGTTACATAAGCACTGTAGCATAAATATCAAACATAAAATATGATAAAAAATTAATTAAAGCATAAAGAAAGCACATCTGTAATACCCTTCTATTGCTGGCTTTCCAATGAAAGCTCCATGTACAAGTTCATTGAGATGTTTAACACGCAAAGCACTTAACTTCCCCCCTAATACAAAACTTATAGCATCCATAATATTTGATTTTCCTAAAATACATATATAAAGTATTTACACATTTTGATTGAAATATATAAAAATAGAAGTAAAAAAAGCAAAAATATATATATTAAAAGAGAAAAAAAATTAAGAATTAAAATTTATTTCAAAGATTTTAATTGAATTTAGATTGTATTAATTTTATTTATCTTGCAAAAATGGAAAAAGAAAAAAGAAAGAAGAACTAAAAAGATATAGAGAAATAATATTTTTCTCGATCAAATAAATTGGAGGTTGTAGAGTACCGTGAAAAATCTTACCGGATCCATTCGGACCAATAATAGCCGTAAAAGGCTGGATATTATCGATTACTATTTTGCCTTTAAACGATTTAAAATTGAAAAGCGTAATAACTTTCAAAGAAATCGGCATTTTATCGACCACGAAAAGCAAAGTGGATGAAAGTGGACGACAATTGCAAGTCTATTAAAGTCTATATAAATCTTCTAACGATTCTAAATTTGAGTTATTTGATTGAACAATTGAAAAACAAAGACGCCTCTGTACTTACCGTTCTGATTGGTTATCAATCGATAAATGAAGTGAAATATATTCCAAGCTAATTATCGCGCCGTTATTTAAATATAAAACAGTAACCAATCTAAAACTGAGTCCAAATTTTATAAAAGTTATCTAAAAAAAAAACATTAAAAAAAAATTAATAATTTACAGCTTTCTTTTGATATATACAGTTTTCGTACGAAAATTCCTTTTATGATTCCTTGTCATAACACTGAAGGATTTGTACTGGTATTTCATAGGCAATATATGCTGAATATTGCGAAATTACAAACGGCACGTATCCAAAAACAACGGAAATGCCGTTAATGCGGAAACATTGATTATATATACAAACGAAATTCACGCATAATAATAAAATTTTACACACACACACACACGAGCACGTATATATCTATATATATATATATATATATCATAAATAAACGAGTTACAATATAACAAATAAATTATCATTTAAAATATTAACAATGAACAATTGAACTACTTGAGATTTACTTTCTTATTATTTTTCTTCTTCTCTCCTTTATGGCTGGTTAGGCCTCTTTACAGAATTTGCCTGTATGCCATTTATTTTCATATTACTTAGTATAAAATATATATCATGATTAATAGTGCATTTAAGAATGCATGTTTAGTTGAAATAAATCTTATATTTGCAAATTTAGAACTTCATTCGCAAGATTTTATTAAAGTCAAGTTTTTTTAAAAGTTATTTACATTAATCACAACATAAGTTATAATTGTCATATTTGCAATTACTCTCACTCCTATCCTGATTTACATTGAAAAAAAGATATTACCTAATCTATTAAAAGTATGATACTATGGTTTTGCAGTGATCTCAAAACAGTATCAAGAACGTGAATAAAATAAATCTAGAAATACAATAATAATAATTAGCATTTTGCGTATTAATATTCATTTTTCTCCCACAACACAATTAAAGGTCATCCATCACAAAGTATAAAAAAAAGACAACAACAATCTTTCTTAAATTAATAACTGTTTATGAGTTAATTAATGTGCGTAGGATATGTAGTTAAATCGAGTGTTAACACTTTGCTTTCCAAACATTCGCCTACCTGAAATGCAAGTAAAAATTTTATAATCAGCAATAGACGAAAAAAAAAGAATAAAAATATATATATATATAATATGATTCATATAATCGCATAATTTACATACGTCTGGACAAATTCCAATAAGCGCATCTGCGTGCGAATAAAATTCCTCTTTCAATGATATAACGATCGTCTGCAGTGAAGTCGTTTTGTCACGAATGTAACTCGCCACTTTTCCTATGTTAGTATTATCGAGAGCCGCATCGATTTCGTCCAAGACAAAAAATGGCGCAGGCTGGAAGCTAAATATGAACAAATAAGAATAAATATTAATTATATGTTCGAATTGTACCATTAATTTATTTTTGTATATTTAAAATATAGATATAACCTGTGAATTGCAAATAACAGAGCTAATGCCGCGACTGTTTTTTCTCCACCAGATAGATTGGACATAGGTTGAAAGCGTTTGCCTGGAGCCACACAATTATAATTAATGCCATCCAAGTAAGGTTCTTCAGGATTTTCTGGTCCAAGGAATGCTTGTGCAGATTGATTCTTTGCTAGACTCTGAAACAACCATCATAAATGAGTAAAAAGAAAAGTTACATATAAATACTTTTATACAAATTCATTAATCTACAAACTTTATAAATAGGGTCAATCTCATTCGCTACATGTTCGAAACACGCCATGAATCTATCATGTCGTTCTTTTTTTATTTTCTCGAAGTGTGTTTTTGCTTTCTTTGCCTTCTTGCGAGATTGTTCAAACTCTTCATTAGTTTCTTGTAGCTTTTCCTTTGCCAAGTATAATTTTTGAATTGCCTATAAGAGAGAAAGGAAAAATATTTCTATATTCTAAAATGTTTTATATTTATTAATGTCATATTCAATATATAAGTTTTTACAAACCTTCATATTTGGAGCTTGTATGCGTTGTATTGTATTTTGCAAATCATTGATTATTTTCGTTAACTTATCAGTTGTCTTTTTTATATCTTCTTCCTCAATATCCTTCAAATTTTCCGGCAAAAGTGCATAATCTATAGTAATCCTCCTTTCACGTTCGTATTGTTGCTGTGTGCTAATTGACGAATCAGTATTGGTTTCATTACCATTTGTCGTACTTGTTTCACCTGCTATATCTTCCATATTTCCATGCAACATAGGTATTGCAATATCTTCCATCTGAATATATTGTTAAAAATATACATTTAGTAATTTAAAATAATATACAGTTATATAATATACAATAAGATAATCGTTTCACATCAAGTACATTCAACAAACCTTGCATTGCATGAGAATAGCATGTCGTTCGGCTTTTTTCTGTTCAATTTTTGTTTCAATCGCGTTAAGCTGCTTCTGAGCTGCTTGAATATCTTTCGCGATTGCTCCTACTTCACGTCTCGCTTTACCGATTTCATCGTCCTTCTGATCGACCTCCATCTTCTTAGCATTACGAGATGATTTTAACTGCTCCATTTGCTGCTCGTCATGGTCGATTTCCGCTTTTTGATTCAGTTCTGTTTGCTTTGCGGATTCAAGCTTATCTTCTGCATCTTGAACCGCCCGTTCCCATCGCAAAACATTGCCTGCATTATAAATAATGTTAAATAATACAAAAACTAATAACATAGTTAATATACAGAGATTGTATGAGATGAAAAAACTTCTTTATGTAAGAGCGTGAGAATGAACAAATTCATGATATATAAAATTTTACATAAAATATTTGAATAATACTTACTTTCTGTGTCGCGTTGCTTCTCAAAATCTAATTGATTATAAATACGATTGCATTGATTGTCGAACTCCAATCGCTTCTTTGCTCTTTCTTGTTGTGATCTAGAGTAATAGTATATATTCGATTCTAGCATATAAATGTAAAATAATATAATTCTTCAATGACATATAGCTCTTTTGTTATACCTCAATTCTCTTTCTTCATATTGACGGATATTTGAAACTCCTATCTGCTCACAAAAACTAGCAAATACATCATCTTCAACATTGTTCATTTTTTCTTTAATATTTTGTATTTCTTGATCCCTTTCAGCCATGGTCTTTTCAATAGCAGCTATTGCAGGCTACATATAAGAGATTAAAAAAATATTGAAATATTTTTATTTCAAATATGCAATTATATGGTATGTATATATATATATATGTGTGTGTGTGTGTGTGTGTGTGTGTGTGTGTGTGTGTGTGTGTGTGTGTGTGTGTGTGTAAAATATCACAACTTACACCAAACATGTTTAATTCGTTTTGTAGACCATCTAACTCCACCTCAAGATCCGTAATTTGTTTTTGCTACAATAAAAATTTGATCAATGTATTTTTTAATTTCAATGATATCTTTTTAAATTTTCATCAATGAATTTTTAACTAAGTATACTTTTTATAAACAATACAGTATGTAATGCTTACTGTTGCAGATAAATCGCTTTTGTTATATTTTAGACGAGTTTCTAAACCACGTATTTGAGATTCAACTGTATTCAATTCAGATTCTTTGCGCGATTTTTTCAATGATTCTCTCAGTTCTTCCGTTAATTTTTCCTGTAAATTAAAATCAGAAATATTTGTATCCATATAACATAAAAAAAAAATTAATGCATTACCTTTTGAGCCTTCAATTGAGACATTTGTTTTTCATCCCATCTCTTCGCTTTCTTTGCAAGATCCAAACTGCCACCAGATATTATTCCCGCTTTTTGATAAAACGTACCGTCTAATGCGACGCACTATAAATGTTTCAATATATATATTACGTATTTTTCATATTATTATTATTTTATTTACAAGCTAATATCATGTATATATTTACATCGTATCTAGTTTTCTTGTCCATCTCGTATGCTACTTTATTTGCATCTTCTGGTGTCTCACATACAAGAGCATTATTAGTTGCAAAAAGGACTGCTCTATCAATATCCTTTGGAGAAAAATGCAATACATCATATAGCAGTTTCACATTTTTAGGTTCTTGTATATTACTGCAAAATAGCATAATTGTCATTGCAAGGTTCATACAAAATGATTAGATGATATAAAAAGTGTTTTCGTATTATTTTTGTTGTTGTAAAGCTTTATGTAATAAAAATTTATTTAATTTATTTACCGAAGACGTTCTTTTAGTGGCTTAGCTTGGATATAATCGAGTGGAAGAAATGTTTCTGGTTCAAGATACTGCTCTTTTAAATATTGGATACATTGTCTGGCCGTTTTCTCAGTATCTACTACAATAGCCTCCATATATTTGCCAAGTACTTTTGTAATTGCAACATTGTATCGTTTGTGTATTGGTTCGCACATGTTATACATGCGATCATACTGGAAAAAAAGAAAAATATGAATTTTTTTGTTTCTACTTACAGATATTGAGAAGAGAGATAACGCACCACTCCTGGGAACAAACGCTTAAAATTCTCCACAATTTCCGTCTTTTTCTTGGTTCTGGATACTTCATGTTTATCAACTTTAGCATCACCAAGTTGCTCCGAGATGCTCTCCAATTCCCGCTGTAAATTTTGAATCTTATCTTTTGATGTGCCCACATCAGATTGCAGATCAGCTCTAAGTTTCTTTTGGTCTTCTAACGCAGCCTCCGACGTTCTTATATGCTCCTCCAACTTTTCTACTCGTTTGAGAGCCTCGTCTCTCATATGACCCTTCTGTTTATGCTTATTCTCAATCTCCGTCTTCTTTCTGCCTTCGTTGTCGAGTCTATCTTGATCCGATTTTTGTTCGCGATTGATTGAATCAAGAAGTTGAAGATATCTCGCGGATTGTTTACCAGCTTCTTCTTTTAAGCGATTATATTCTTGCACCTAAATTATTTTAATTATATATACATAAATTTAAAAAAAAAGTATTTTATTAATAATATAGCTGCATAAATTATATATTATGCAAGAGACGCGCAATTTATATTGTATACCTGTTCATCTTCCAATTGCACATCCCTTCCTTGCAATTGTGATTGTCCTGCTATACTCGCTTCGTAAGCAGCTTTAGCTTCCTCTACTTGTCGTAATTCTTCCTGCAGTTCGTGTATGTCTTTTTTATGAGCCTCGTCTGCGATACGCGCTTGAGCCAAAGATTTACGGGCAGATTCCACCTTTTTTTGCATATGTGCGACTCGTTCTTTGGCTTTGATAAAAGTCGGTCTCTTTTTTGTAATTTCCACTTCCACCTCTCGAATATCCTGTTCTATCTTAGCAAGGTCTCTCCCCAATTTACCAGCATCCTTTTTCTTTTCTTTCAGTAACTCCTCAGCTTTCTCTTTCTTTTTCTCAATTTTTTCAATCTCGTGTTGTTTCTTCTTTTGAGAAACTTCAAAATTTTCAGTACCCTTCTCATTGTGGAATAATCGAAATAGTTGCAACTCTACTTGTTTTTCCACCTAAAAACAAAAGATAAATTTTTATTGTTAATAATTATATAAATACATAAAGAGAATATATATCTTTATAATTTCTCCTTATTATAAAATATATAATTATATTGATTTTATAATTAAATAAAAAATAAGAATAATAGAATTAAAATAAAATGCATTATACATATATGTATTGTGGAATTAAAAATATTGTCTTTGTTTTCATTTTTTTACAATAATTTTATTATAATATATATATATATATATATATATATATTAATAGACGCATATAAATAGACTGGGTTTAATCCAAACTAAATTTTCGACGAATTCATTTTTAATTAGAAATATATGATGCATATATACAAAGCATACAATTGATAATGCACTATTAAATTACGAGACCAATGATGAGAAATATCTACTTATTGTTAGAAAGAATACAAAAACGCTTAATTGTCATTATTAATATCCCAGACAGTTCCTAAAAGACGTTTAAAAAGCGACTTGTCGACGAAGTCTAAAAAGAAACGTCTTATCAATGTTTAAATATTTTTAAAATACCTTTTGCCATATTTTTGTTCTGTCTGGGATTGCTAATATTAACATTAATATTGTTAATAATTAAATAGATAGTATATAGATCGAAACGTGTTTATACGGGGCGGGGGAAATTTTGGAGGGATTGGGGCTAAAAGAGAATAAGAAAAAAACTGATATCTGCGTCTCGCAATTAACAATTCGTGCATTCCCATTCGTCGAACTGTTTAGGATACGAGGGTACGAAGGGTACATACGGGCGAAACAAAATGAGAATGAAGAGAGGGTGAAACTCGGTGAAAGATATGGACGGATCAAGCGGCGAAGGGGGAGGAGGGGATGAAGGCGCTATCGGCCGTGAATAATACGCGGTGGCGTCCGCATCTCGTGCGTCCCGTCTCGTGCATGCTCGTGCGTTCGATTCGTCGACTCGGCTGGATGGATTGATAAAGATTAAAGGTAAAGGGAGGTGGCAGGGTCCAGGGGTGTTTTGGAGTTAGGCGACAGAAGTCAGCCAGCGAAACGAAGCGGGCGCGCGCCCGCGTGGGGGATGATGTCACATAGGGGTTTCCCCCCGTCCCGTCCACCCCCTCGTCACCACCCAAGCGTAAATACATACAGATGCAGACCGGATTGATGCATTGACCGGCGCAATGACGTAGGTACGCGACGTGTCGCGACGAATTCTTTTCCACGATTATTATAGTGGATCGATGATTTCGAGATTGCTGTCATTTCGATTAATTGTACAAATCACGAATAAAATTATAAATCATTTTCGTGTATCTGTATAGATGTATTTATCGTTGTAGATCTCTTTCTTGGCTAATTTGAAGTTGATTAATTGATCCATTTAACTATTTCTCTGATTTGCACAAATATCTTCAGGTTATATTCATGATATATTATTGTATGGGAATAATTGTCTTCAAATTAATTAAAACATTTTATTATTCTTTCTTTCACGCAAAAAAATTACTTTTTATAGAAGTGCCGAAAGAAAGAAAGGGAGAGAGAAAGAGAAAGATAGATAAAGATAAAGAAGTATTATTTATATTAAAATATGTTTTTTCATTCTCTCAATCTTCTATTCTTAAATACTTTTTTTACCGTACGCAGAAAACATCTTAAACATATTTAATTATGACAATTTTTAATTTATATGTTAACATAAAAAAACCATATTATTTTAGTTGAATATTTTGCATATTAAATACACTAAATGCGTGCTAGGAACGAACGGAACAATATTAAGGGATGATGAATAAAATAAGTTGTGAATAAAATGTCGTTATATATTTCGAAATACATGACTTACCCTTCGAAAAGATGTACACTACGCCAATGTAAACGAAGCTCGCCTTCGTATGACTCATGCGATCTCTCTCGCAGCCTCCCCTACACGGTCCCGTATCGTAGTCATGCACAATGGAGAATAGCAAACGCAGTAAAGGTAACTCACGTTCGCCAGGGCCGGGGCCGGTAATGCTAGTCCAAGTTCTCCCCTTGTTCTTCCTGGAGTACCCGCGGGCCACGTGGCATGATTTTCATCCCCGTCGCTATATCCTTCCCGTAACGATCGTGGAAACAATTTCTCTTCTCCTAAAATATATATTATATCGTTTTTCCACGATCGCGGAGGTTTCGCTCCTGCCGTTTCTGTCTTATCGCAATTTCTCTTCTTCCGTATCTTTTCCTGCATGATACTTACATTCAGATACAGAGAGATAATATCTAGGAGTCATTTTATAAAATTATATCAGTTAGAATAGTAGACGAAACATATGTATATTAGATATAATATATCGTACCTAACTTTATACTTAGTATATTAATTATGTCAATATATTTATCACCAACAACAGCTTATTTTTAAACCAACAGGTATTAAAAATGCATTTTATTATTTTTAGATTTTTTATAATACAGAACACTAAACATGTACACAGTAATTACAAGTAAACACGTGAACAGTATTCTGTTAGATGTACTTTTATGTATGTCAATATACATTAGAATATAGAGTTGATCTTTTGTGTTCAATAATCAAAAATAATATTTATTTTATATAAATATTATATTTTATATTTTCAATATTTATATTGAT